CAAAAACAACTTTATGGACTACTCACATAATGAGAGTCTCAAAGAAAGTACAGAACATCCCTTTTGCAACCTTAGGAGTTCCACCTTGGGATCTCACACTAAAGCACAGTTTCTGGTATATGCCAGAGAAACTGACTTCCCTTTTGGGATGAGATCTCCTCTGTAAATTAAATGCTCAAATAACCTTTTTACCAGGACAACTCATTAAAGTCCTCCCTGAACAGGCCTGGAACTTGCAGTTTGCCTTCCTGAAATCCAAGGAACACCTGGAGAAAAGAATACAACCTGAAATCAACCAAGAGGTAAGACCCACTGTGAAAGCAGTTGGGGCTCAAGACAAGGCAAAGAATATTTCCCCAATACAAACTGTCTGAAAGGAGGGGCAAAGGTCCCAATTTACAAAACCAGTTGGTTCCCTTTATTGTCTAGGTTCTCTCAAGTTAAATTAACACCTGTATTTGGGCTTAGCTTTGTCCTGGGGCAGAGACCTTTTGCCTGACTATAAACAGCAATTGCCTGTGTAGATTCTCTCAAAACCCATGGGCAACTGAGGATTTGAGGGGATGGCTATGTTTTTTAATTTGAATTCCCAATTATGGGCTTATAGTAAAATCACTTTATGAGACCCTTAAGGAACATGGGCTTGGGTGATAGGATGGACTAAGGAATGCGAAAGGACCTTTTGATACAGTGAAGGTGAAGAAGTAATAGCCCTGGGACTTCCTGAAATTACAACCTGTGTTCCATTCAACCTGTGTGTTTATGAAAAACAAGGATTAGAGCTTAGAGTTTTAATTAAGCCCTTAGGATATGTGCTTTGTCTGGTGGCATATTTTTCCAAACTACTGGATCACACAGCTGAGGGATGGCCTCCCTATTAGTGAATCTGTGGTCACAGATATTTGTGACATTCTATAGGATACAGAAAAATTCACATTGAAGCAAGTTTGGAACACGAACATGCATATCATTTCTACTCCGATTAGCAACAGAAAGGAGGCTACTGGCTCACCTCAAGAATGGGAAAATACCCAGACAATCTATTGAACAATCTCATTGTGAAAATACATGTTACCTCCACATTGAATCTAGCCACCTTGCTCCCAAATGAGGCCTTTGACACCCTCCTTAACATAATTACCTGCAGATTATTGAACTATTCCAGTCAGCCAGATCTCTATGCAGCCTTTTTCCTGCCCCCAAACTAGAATTATAGACTGGAGCAACTTTACAGACCAAGAGAAGCATCAGGCTAACAGTGACCTTAAAAAGCATTAAAGATAAAAGCACTGCCTCCCCAAAGCTCAACTCAGAAGGCGTAAGTCATTGTCCTTGTCAGAGCTCTCTTCCTAGCAGAGGGAAAGGGAATAAACATAAACATCAACTCACCATATACCTTTTTGGTACTGAATGCATGTGGTATCATGTGGTAAGAGTACATTTTACTGAAAATAACAGAGAAATCAAACATGTCCCTTAAATCTTGCTATTATTTGATGATGTTCACAAGTCTTCCCAGGTAGCAATATACTATTCTGGCCACCAGGAGGAGGAAAGCCTAGGGAATAAAGGGAAGCAACGAGCTGACAAAGATGACAAGCAGTTCTCTGGGTTGGTGACTTCATAGCTCTAATTGGATCTCTTGTTCCCCAAATTGACATATTGCAATATATAGGCCCTCATATACTGATAAAGACAAAGAAAGGGTAATGGAATGTGGCTTACCCTTTGACCAAACAGGCCTTGGACAGAAATGTAATGCTCAGGGAATTTCTGATCCTAGAAGCCCTTCTGGAGACTATGATAAAACATATCTACAATAGTACTCATTATGCAAAAGATGTTACTCTCCATTGGATACAGAAATATATTATGGGACCCAATTTACAAAACCAGTTGGTTCCCTTTATTGTCTAGGCTTTCCACCTTCTGGTGACGATAACAGTATACTGCCATCCAGGGAGACTTGTGAACACATTCTAGTAACAGTAAGATTTCAGGGACGTGTTTAATTTGTTATCAAAAATGCCTTACATGTACCAAAAATAATAACTTAAAGGGAGGTACAACCATCGGATGTCCACAAGTTTCAGGGGAATGGCTCATCCAAAGACTGGCAAGTTGATTTCATTCAGATGCTCCAAGCCCTGGGAAATTACAGATATGTTAGTTTTCATAGCTACCTTTTTTGGGATGATAGAGGCCTATCCAGATTACTCTGAAAAAAGCATCTAAAATTTTCAAGGCGCTTTCAAAGGAAATTACCCCAAGATTTGGCCTAACGTAATTCAAAGTAACAATGCATCTTCATTTGTCACAGCTGTCAGTCAACAGGTGGCTTGAATACTATACATTACTTGGAAACTATGCTCTTCTTGGAGACTTCAATCAACACGAAAGGCTGGGGTGAATTACACTTCAAGAAAAAATATTGTCAAAATCTGTCAAAAAACCCAACTTAACTTGGGATAAAGTAGTAGCAGCTCTGTCATAGATTAAGGTGGCTCCATGAAGTGCACTCAAATTGAATCTTTTTGAAATACTGTGTAATAGGTCATTTCACATTTCTCTCCCTACAGAAGAACATGATGAGTTTTTAAAGGATCAGTATGTACAAACACTGATGAGTGTGTACAAACTGATCACTGATCAGTATGTACAAACATGATGAGTTTTTAAAGGTAACTCAGTATGTACAAACACTGGGGACTATATTAACTTTTACCCATGGGTTTGCTTCCAACAGGTCTGCACACCCCCACTCATGTACTACTTTATCCAGTTCAATCTGACAACAGAGTTCTTCTAAAAATCTGAAAAGAACAAGGACCAGACCAATAGTGGCAAAATGGATAGGAACACTGGAAGTATTTCTAAAGACCAATACTTCTGTCAACCTAGCCAGAGTAAAACCATGGATCCATCACACACAAGTCTGCACCCAACATCTACCCATTCCACTAACAAAGATCAGATTCCTAGTCTGTCATCTCAATAGAGAACCTCAAGTCCTTAAGAAAAAAAAAAGTGGTAATATTTATCCTTCTCCCTTGATAACCTTGTGGAGAATAACCCTTTCTTAAAACATCCTTTGAAGTCCTACAGGAAGGATCTTTTATAGAGTGTACAGCTAGTAGGAATGGAGAAGATCCCATAGTAAATAGATGGACCATCAAAAATGGAGGCCATCTCAGTATTAGGCTATCTCCTCAATAAAAGGATCTTTGGTTGTGCCAAGAACAAGGGAATACCAGCTTAAGTTTAACACAGCATATCATTAAAACCCCATTAGAGAACACTTGAAACGTGGATAAGGGCTAATTTTGTTAGGAAGGAATACAAAAATCATACCATACAAAATTGGACCTCAATTTCCTTCTATGAAACATTAGAATTAATGTAGCTAGCAAGAGTTCACAGAAATAAGATTACAAAGTATTTTAGTCAGCTTTTTCACTGCTGTGACTAAATGACCCAACCAGCACAACTGTAGAGGAGGAAGAGTTTATTTGAGGGTTCACGGTTTCAGAGGTCTTGGTCCATAGACGGCCGGCTCCATTCCTCAGGGCTCTAGGTGAGGCTGAACAGCATGGTGCAAGGGTGTGGCCGAGAGAAGCAGCTCACATCACAGTGATTAGAAAGCAGAGAGACTCCCCTCACCCGACACAAATATATACCCAAGGCCACGCCCCCAAAGCCACTCCCCAATTCCCAACTCCTCCAGCCACATCCTATCACTTCAGTTACCAGTGTTAATCCTTACCAGAAGATTAAATCATTGATTAGGTTAAAGGCTCTTTCTTACAACCCAATCATTTCTCCTCTGAACTTTCTTACAATGTCTCACACATGAGCTTTTGGGGGACAGCTCACATTCAAATCATAACACAACACGCTCTACAAGAGGCCAAATCCAATATCTCAAGGTACAAGTGGCAACTGATAAAGGAATAAAACAGATTATATAATTGGTACTCAAGTATGTACACACCTATTCTGGATTTATAGGATGGCTTGCTTGTGCATTCAGATCCTCCAACATTTCCAATTCCAGGTTAAACAGTTCCATTCCAACACTACTCATTTCACCCACCTTCAAGCAGGAAGTAGCCAGAGCCGTCACTGCCCCCTTATCAGTTAAGACATGTAGTGGAATTTGGACAGAAGGGAAATCGTAGCTGTCTGTGGTTTTCTTTGCAAGAAAAAGCCTATGCCTCCTTGAGCATGTAGCCCTCATTAATCATTTAAACTAGCTGCACAAGGTTGATTTACTGAAACTTCCCTAATCTTGCCCCACCCCTCCAAGGCTGGTGCAAATGAACAGATTACCAGCAGGTTTCAATTTCTTCCTAAAGATAAAAAAAGCTTAAAACCTGTGTTAACACAGTCCTTCAGAATTCTAGTTCACCGTCTTCTCCATCTTGCTGGCTTACCAAATCTTGCTCCTTACTCTAGCAACTTGTCCTGGATTTGTTAGGCCCTTTTTGAGCAGCAAATACAGACTTGGATTTGGCAACACAAGTGTTACTAATACCATCTCTATTTGGATTATAGGCCAAGAGTTCCAAATTAAACTGGGATCATTAGCCAAACTGAAGGCATATTGCCTAAGAAAAAAATAGTTGATTAGCTTAGCATTGCAAATTCAGTTATAAAGTGAGAATAAGCATCAAAGTGACAGAGAACCAAAAAGGGAGGTAAACCACAGGAATGTGATCAAGAAACAAGAGTCCAGGATATATACTTAAATTTATCTCAATGACCTCCCAAACTAGAGCACCGTGAATGACTAATAATCCTGAATCATTAAAAAAACATTGATTTACCTGTGCATTTATTTAGAATATCCAATGTCCTCAGGGGTAAGCAAGATGGGGATATCAAAAGACGTAAAATAAATATTTGTTTAATTTTGAGATTAAAGGAGTGATAACACAGTATTTACTGGCTTCTACCCTCAGGAGCTTACAATGAACTTGAAAGACAAAATTAATATAAAATAAAGTTAATTATTAAGTACTTTATTTTAGTATAGTATATTTGCCAAGTCAGGACAGCAGTAGGATTTACTTTATACATACTTCCATTCCAAAAGCTTGGAAAAATATATCAGTAATGTAAGATATAACTCTTGAATATCCAGAATAGTCTTCTGGATAATGCAAGCATAAATAAGTTATCTTCTTCACACAAATTATCCCCCCAAAGTAATTTATAACATGTAATTCTATCTCTAAAAAACAGTTACAATCCCTCTTAAATTGAATATGAATAAACATGTGAAAGGAGCACAAGTTTTAAAACTTCAATGCAAAATTTTAATACATTGGTTTTAACCATTATCCTTTCTTTTTTATTTTTAAATGCTACACATGGGCTGGATTGTAGGTTCCAAGAGTCATAACAACTATAGATCATTCTGTTGGTTAATAATTCATTAAAGTTCTTGAATCTCTGACTGTAAGGCAATAATTAGGAACTGATTTCAGAAACAGAATGCAAGTACTGAATTACAAATTCTACCAGGTCAGCTAAAGTAGGTGGAGAATTCACCTAAGATGGAAGAGTGAAGGTTTATTTTACCCATTTCAAGACTTCTCCACATATTTTGCCAGTTTGAAATAGGCTACGGGAGGGTGAGAATAGTTTAAAAGGTGTATTTCTTATTTTAATGTGTAAATACACATCCTTAAAGGTTAAGCCTATCTCTAACCTGTCATCAGTTCAGTGAAATACACTGCTTTCTTCTTAATCACTGGTGACTTCAGAACATGATTGTCCACTGAGGGGAACTAAAGCCTGAATACAAAGCAATTATGAAATGCAGGCAGCCAGAGGCCAGTAGGTGGGAGAGCAGAAGTACATACTCTGGCCGCACAAACTCTCCCAGCTTAAAAGCATCATATCTATAACTATCCTGAGTGCTACATTTCCTATATGTGCCAGGAATTATGAACACCTGATATATTCTGTATTCTGCATTTAGTAGACAATTTGTTCAATAATACTAACTTGACTTACACTTTACTTTCTCATATTCTGAACAGGGAAATCTAAGTAAAAAAAAAAAAAAAAACAATTTGAAAGATAAATTAAGAATAATTTTTGGGCTGGGGATGTAAAGTGCTTGCCTTGCATGCACAAGGCCCTGGGTTCAATCCCAGCACCACAAAAAAAAAAAAAGAATTTTTAAGAGGCTGGGGTTGTGGCTCAGTGGTAGAGTGCTTGCCTAGCATGTGTGAGGCACTGGGTTCAATCCTAAGCACCACATAAAAAAATAAACAAATAAAGTAATTTTTTTAAAACAAGAATAATTTTTAAGGAATCAGGAATCTTGATTTAGACCATAAAGGACTTAAAATACTGTTACTCTGAATTTATTAGTACATCTTAATCATTTTTTGCACCAATTTTCAACATAATTCTTAGATAATATTCCACTTTTAAAAAAAGCTATTAGAAAATTATGATAATTACTTTGGAATGCAATATTTAAAACATTTTGAAAACTGATAAATAAAAACATGAACCTAGTGACACTGAAATCTGCATTATTCCCAAGAGTTCAATGCAAAAAAGATGTTACCTGATATTTTACATTCAGTTCATATCTTTATCTCTATGCCCAGGCAAACACTCTGTTTCAAGACTATTGCTTTGTTTCTTGTAAAGACATTTAACTCATTGTTACTGCAAATATATTTAAAATATTTTATGATTACTTATGAGTAATTATTTATTACCTTTTATATTAGTCAGGGTTCTCTAGAGGAACAGAATCAACAGGAAGTATAATTTTAAAAGGGGGACTCATTAGGTTGGCTTACACAAACAGAAGCTGGATAGTCCACAATGGCTGTTTGCAGGCTGGAGAGCTGGAAGAACAAGTAGCTACACAGTCCAAGAAGCTGAAGCCACAGAACAAGAGGGATCAATGGTTCTATCCTAGTCTGAGATGGAAGACTTCTGGAAATTCCCTGGAGAATCACTGGTAGAGATCACTTTGGAAGAGTGAAAAAGCAAGAGCGATCCTCAGACATCACAGCAGCAATCAAGAACCCATTCAAGAAGAATGGAGTTTGCATCTGCTGCTGCTTTCTTGTTCTTCCAACTTTCATTTCATCCAAGCCATCATCCTATTGGAAGGTGCTGCCCATGCTCATGGAGGGTCTCCATTTCAGTTGGCCATCCCACATGCCAATCATTCCTTGACACACCCTGATCAACACACTCTTTAATTGTTGCATCTCTTAATCCAATCAAGTTGACAATTCAAATTGGCCATTACACCTTTCTAAAATACTAGGGTAAGGATCATTGTTATATTCACAATACAAAAATGCTCATAATGTTAAGTTTCCTAAACTTCTTTTTTAATGTTTCAAGTGTACTTTATTTCTTCAATATGCCATAGGTATAATAGGTACACAGTGCTTTTACTTGGCATCAATTATAAGTTGGCACAATTACTGATCTCTCCATTCCTTTGGGATGACCCAGCCAACAGGGGACAGGTTCCATTCTATTCCAATTTGTGTTACTATGTGTGTCCACACAGCAATACAGAAAAGTGGCTCCAATAGCTAATACCACATTACCATATTTGTCTGGAAATCAGGTGCTCTGTCTTGCCATTGTTTGCTGGATGTTCAAACTTGGAGATGATTTAGTGCATTTTTGGCCACGAGAAACATCCAGGAACTGAAGAGAACTGTGGCAACTGAAGCTGCTGGTTTGGTACAAATTTGTTCCAGGTACCCTTCCAAAAGCTTGAATTATTTTTAAGTAACTCACTATACTGAGTTTTTGTAGGTTAAAAAAAACACTGCCTAAATTCATGAAATCCATGCAGCTCATTACTGTACCAGATATTAAAACCTTAAGGACTGGTCCTCATTACCGCTGGGAATTTCTACAAAATAAGCCACTTGCACCACATTTAAATTTACAGGTTATTTTGTCCAGCTGTTCAACCAAGAGTAATACTGCTCTAAGAAATCAACTCTAAATTCATGTCTTTGTCTAATTGATACTATTTTTTCCAACCCATATAAAAAATTGATTGCCTAAACATATGCAAAACAATACAATGTTTAACTTCAGCAAATTTGCTAAAGTACTGACAATAAATCAATGTTCTGGAAATTCTTATTTTAGCAACTGTCTAGAAGTTAACTTCTAGAAAAATCAGCCTGATACAATGAAATCATTCATCATAATTATACAATATAATTTTTCCATTTTTGAGGCAAAACATAAATATTATGTCCTTTACAAAATGTCTATATACTAAAATTGATATGGCCTATAAAGGTAGCTAGTATAGATGATTCATACCCTTTAGATAAACCAATTGGGCACACATTGTTCTTTTCAAACATTTATATAAAGAAGGAAATCAACATTGGTAGCATCAGTAGGTTTGATTAGCAAGTGTCACCAGGTAGTATGATTGTCTTATCAATAGCTAAAGTATGACTTGATTCTAATCACCATTATAACTGAACAATCTCTAAATTATACCACAAGTTGTAACCCTCCATCCACTACTAGAACATGTCCTGTAATATATGGTGATTCTAAAAGAAACACAATTGCATGTGCCACCTCAATGGTTTCTCCAAACCTTCCAAGAGGAATGCTTTTCTTTAACTGTTCTTCTTTCAAGTCTTTCGTCATATCTGTATGAACAAATCCTAAAACAGAAGTGATCATTCAGAAACTGTTCAAATTATACTGTTTTATTGTGTGCAGCACACATGAATATATTATAACAAATCCCACTATTATGTATAATTATAATAAGCCAATAAAAATGATTATTCAGGTGAAGAGAGGAGACACTAAGATATTTGCTCAATTTTGAAAAAATGAATTTGCACCTGAAAATGAGATGAATAAACCTTGTTTTGGAGATACAGTTTTGCTATCAATTAAATAAACAATCTACAATTTTACTCACTTTAACTCAATGAACATTTACTGAACACTAAAATATATGATCTCCAAGTATACGGCCAAACTCTTAGCAAAATGTAAAGACAAGCTCATATATGTCATGGATGGATACAGACATGAATAAAACAAAATTCCATTCCTTTGGAAACCTATAATTCATGGAGGAAACAATCACTTATATACACAATTATGGTGTAAGGAAGTCTGGTGAATATCCTTATAATGGTATAAATAAAAGGCCACAGAAATGATTAAATTTCACTTGAGTGGGAATAAGAGAGTGAGAAGTTGTGTTGAGGGAAGACAGGCATCACAAAAAATGGTCACATGAACCAATTGGCAATTCTGATAAGAACTAGTCAGTTCCATTTGCTATGGCCAAGATAACTGATGATTAGAAAGTCCAAAGTTTCCAATACATGTATAAGAACAAAATCTGGTAGTCATCCAATTCCAATGTGAGTATACACACAAAAATCAAAATTTAAATTGGAATTGGTATAGGTATGCAATAAAGCTTGCACAGAACATTTAAAATATAAAGTTCCCAGTATAAAGTACTATATATTATATTAAGCAACCAATTTTAAATGATAACTGATATATTAAGGAAAAAACATAGATTTGTTAAGAAAATATAAGATTAATCTGAGACATACAACTACATGTTACTAATAAAATGCTTAACCCACAATCAATATTTTATATAGTACTCAATCTTTTAGGTTTTTAAAAAGAAAGTAAATATTAATCTACATGAAAGCAACAGTAGTTAGCAGTAGTTAGGTTACAAAAAATAGATGGACTAAAAATTAGATGTGCTACATGATTGTTCAGTGTGCAATCTTAAAAATATAGTTTTCAAATTGGCTTATGTTAAACTAATCATACATAAAATCAACCTAAATATAACTGTCATTGAAAGTACCATAATAAATGTGAATTAAATACTGTCTTAAGAATCAATTAGGCCACTAGTTTATTATACAGACCTATGAAATTTACTTTAGGTTTTAACTTAAAAATAGCTAATATTTTCTTAAAAGTGTTGTAAGAAATAATCATAGATTTACTATCATGAAGTCTATGACAGTGTCCGATTATTAGGGAAAAACCTAGAAACAAGTTAACAACAAACTAGTTAAATAAATCATTATATCCACATAATAGAAAAATATGCAGGTATTAACAAATGATGCTATAGAATAATATAAAATGAATGAAAATTGTATATTTAAAGAAAATCATACATGAACTCAGTTATATCACTATTAAAAACAGTGGCACACACCTGTAATCCCAGAGGCTCGGGGGGATAAGGCAGGAGGATCGCAAGTTCAGAGCCAGCCTCAGCATCTTAGTGAGACCCTGAGCACCTTAGCAAGATGGTGTCTCAAAATAAAATATAAAAAGGGCTGGGGATGTGGCTCAGTGGTTATATGTTCCTAGGCTCAATTGGTATCTGCCCCCCCAAAAAAAATCTAATATATACTATTAACTAAGAAACTATGTGCCAAAATAGTGGTTATCATTAGACACCAGAATTACAAGTGAGGAGTATTTTCTTTGTACTTTTGGGTTTTTTTCAAGTTGTCCACAAAAATACATATTATTTTTGCATTCATACAAAAAGCTTTCAAATAGCAAGGTACAGTGCTGCATGCCTATAGTCCCAGCTACCCAGGAGGCTACGGCAAGAGGATTGTTTGAGTCCAGGAGTTCAAGACCAGCCTAAGTGACACACCCTGTCTCAAAAACAGTTATGAAAAAAATATATGTACACAATACTAATTTCAGATGGTCTGTAATAAGGGCCAAAAATAACAAAACTAATTTAGTATTATTTTGTGTTTCAGTGAGAGATTGTATTGTGGAATAAAAAATTCTTCTGCCACAAAATTTCATCACATGTATTTGAAAAGTTAGCAATATTACTTTCATTTCTTTCATCAAGAACAATGAAAGAAAGGAAGAATAAAAGGAGAAGCAGAGCCAGGCACAGTGATAAACGCCTGTAATCCCAGCAGCTCAGGAGGCTGAGACAGAAGGATTGCGAGTTCAAAGCCAGCCTCAGCAATGGTGAGGCACTAAGCAACTCGAAATAAAATACAAAATAGGGCTGGGATGTGGCTCTGTGGTCAAGTGCCCCTGAGTTCAACCCCCAGTACCAGAAAAAAAAGTGGGGGGGAACAGTTGACACAGCTAATAATTAGCTTCTACAGAATTTCAAGGGAACTGTAAATGAAAATTAATTTACAGTGAAGAGTCATAACAAACAATATGCCATCCAATCATGTTAAGAACAATATGATGAGGGCTCTTGATATCCAAAGTTTTCAGTGTTTGAACACACTTACTTTCCAAGGTGCCTCTCCCTGACTTATGAACAGATAGTATCCTAGAAAGAAAACTCACATTTATTGAATAAATTCAAATTATGAATAAAAATAAAAAGTCTATATAAATTTTCTTAAAATTTGTGATACAGTTATCCTTTAGTCTAAGGTCTTTTTGAATTCTAATAAAATTGGCATAGAATACTTCCCAGCAACTACAAACTCTCAGCAGAAAAATCAATTGTATATTTTAACCTAACATGAACAGTAGAAATGATTTGCAAGAAAGATCTTGTGAACACAGGTTAGCAAATTCCAGCTTCAACTTCTAACTGGCTCTGGTAGCATTTTGTCAAAAGCAGCATTTTGTGGTAAAAAGGCCAATGGATTAGGACACATTAAGCAAGATTCTGTTCCACAGTATTAAAACTATGGCCTGAGGAAGTTATGTACTGTCTAAAATGTATGGCTGTTTTCTGTGCCCTAATGAATGAAGTCAATTAAAACTAACAGATCTCTGAGCTTTCTTTTAGCTCTACTACTCTGACTGAAAGATGAAAAGTAAGCCTCATTAAGCAGTTTTCATGACTTGCTAACTTTACTTGAAGTTTAGGAAACTGAGCTCTCCTAAAAGGACCCTCAGTTCTTGACACTATTAGGTGTACAGCAGTTAGAACAGTTCCAATTCAAAAAGAACAAACACTAATCTGAGTTTTCATCTATGCTGTCCTGAAAGGAACTGATCTGCCCTGCTTCTTAGTGAACATCAGTTCTGATGTTTGTCCTTTTGGAAACGAACAGTAAGGCCCCACAACCTATGACAGGCCATTTGAAGGAGTTTCTACCTTGAAAATAAGCATATCTAGAACAAGGAATGAGGAACTGCAGGCAAACTTTACACAAAGAGGCTTAGGCAATGAGACAAGTTCATGGACAATCCCAGTGAAGTGGAAAGATGATCTGTTCAACACAGACTGTGGTTCTCAAAAACAATTACACAAGCAAAATACAGAGAACAGCCAAAGGATAACAGCTTAAATCCTTGAATAAGGTCTTGAAACTTTGAATGAGGTCTTTTAATAGTCTACATTCGGTTGCAAATCACAGATATGGTCTGTGTCTATTTAGGTGAGATCTCTAAATAAGAGTGGTACTCTCAGTCCAGCATGATTACAAGTTCAGAACTGAAATCATGGTGTTCAGCCACCCACATCATAGGAAGATTCTCCCTGCACTTATTCAAGCATGGAAGATAGGAATGTTATTTCATTAGAGGAAACTAACCACAGCTTCTACTCACCTATGCACAAATACGTGGAATAACAAATCTCGTGGGATAGCTCCTAACCATCAATGAACACTGTAATAAAAATCTAGAAGTAGTCAGGAACAGTGGCACACGCCTGTGATCCCCAGCAGCTCAGGAGGCTGAGGAAGGAGGATCACAAGTTCAAAGCCAGCCTCAGCAACTTAGTGAGGCCCTAAACAAGTTAGTGAGACTCTGTCTCAAAATAAAAAATGAAAAGGGCTGGGGACCTGACTCAATGGTTAAGCACCCCTAGGTTCAATCTCAATACCAAAAAAAAAGTCTAAAAGTAAAGTGGGTAAGTAAAGAGAGGCCAAGTTGATAGGAAGGGATAAATCCATACATCAATACATACTGGATTTTCCCTCTTAGATTACGTTTGATATAAAGGACAAGAACATGTCAAGACTTTCTTTCATCATTATTGACAGCCTTTTCTAAATAATAGACTTTATTTTAGAACAACTGTAGGCTTATAGAAAAACTGAGCAGAAAGGACAGGAAGTTATATCTATAAACCCCCTTATCACACTGCCCTCCCCAATTTCCCCTATTATTAACATCTTACCTTAGTGTTAATTGAACCAACTAGTTGAACCAATATTGATAAGTAAAATCCATAGTTTTACTTCTGGGTTCACTTCTTAGGTTATACAGTTCTACAGGCTTTGATAAATGCATGTCATGATATCCACCATTATATTATAGTATCATACAGAATAGTTTCACTAAAAGCCCTAATCTATCTGCAGCTTTTAAAACCTCATTTATCTATCCCAGCCCATCTGAAATAAAAGCAAAAATGTGAAGCTAGTCTCTAATGATAAGTTACTCTGGGCTCTACCTACCAAATATGACAAGGTAGACCATGGTTGGAGGAAGTAGATAAACAGGAGTGCGCCTTAAGGGCTTATATTTTGTCCTTGACGAGCAGAGCTCACGTTCCTTCTGGTTACCTGTCCTAAATTGCTTTCCTCTGCCACTCCCTTTTACCATAGTGTTCTGCCTCCCCTTCAATACATCATTTTATACTGAACTCATAAACTATGATCCTCACTCATAAATATATTCACAACCTAAGACATGATATAAAAGAAACTTCCTGGGTTCTATACCACATACACAGGCCTGAGGAGAGATATGAGTAGTCCTTAAACATCCCACACATCTATCTTTGTTCTTGTATCATTTCTAGTTCATGCTTTCTTTCTGTGCACCAAAAGACTCTCTCCAATCTTTCACTTTTAATTTGTAAAATTCTAGGAATTTTGTTATACTCCCCCTTTTCCAAGGCAAATACTACAGTGACTTTCAAGCTGAGCTATAAAAAGTATACACTACCAGTAGGTGCCACTGTCCAACAAATGATGTTGCTGCATTACTTTACTGAACAGTTAGAAGTTTCCAACTGGCTACAAAACAATCATTCCTTAAATCAGTAAATTGATAACTGAAATGACAGGCCCTCAACCAACTAAGAACATTTCCATTTTAGTACTATAGATTTAATGATATACCCAATACACCTTTGCAGGGTGCTGGGGATTGTGCACAGGCTTTGCACATGATAGCCAAGTGCTCTAATACTGAGCCACACTCCCTACACCAAACTTTTTTTAACATGAACTCTTCAGGAAGAGGACTACTGTTGCTCATAAAAACTGCATGGCCCTTGTCCAATGAGAATTTACATTTCATAAATTCTGAGGGAAACATATTTCATACATCCACTTCTGACTAGCCACATAGCATAAATAAACAGCAACATCTCATTTCCATATTACTAAGTCACTATTTCAATTTTTGACATGTTTATACACAACAAACTTTATATTTAAATTAGATACCAGGATTTTATCTATCACCAGTATAGTCTGAGTGCCCTTATCAGAAATAGTTAGAGCCAGTGACAGGCACCATGAGACAACCCTGAAATCCCAGCTACTCAGAGGCTTAGGCAGGAGGAAGCAGGTTGGAGGCCAGCCTCAGCAACTTAGTGAGTCCTTGAATGCCACATAAAAAAATTAAAAGGGTTGGGGATATAGTTCAGTGGTAGAGCACCCTACCCCAGAGTACTGAGGGGGAAAAAAACACCTCAGACCAGAAGTATCCCAAATTTTAGATTTCTTCAGATTTGGGAATCTTTGCACAAATGTGAGACACCCTGGGAATGGGCCTCAAGTTTAAACAAGAAATTTGTTTGTTTCATATACACCTCATACACATCCTGTAATAATTTTATAAAATGTTGTTGGTGCACTCATACTTTGACTGCAACTGATCAAACAACATTGTGTGGACCTTTTCCACCATTTCAGCACTCAAAAAAGTTTTAAATTTTGGAGCACTTCAGATTTTCAGATTAGGATCCATAACCCATATTATCAAGTGTGGGATGTGGCACTATATAACAGACCTAAAAGTTCAGATGTCCATTCTCTGCCGTAAGTTTCTAGGATCTGAGAAGAACTCAACCCTAGACACTTCAATAAGGAAGAAGAAACAAGGGTCTTGCCAAAAACTAGATCAAGATTTTAACCAGAACAGGGCTAGGGCTATAGCTCAGTTGGTAGAGTGCTTGCCTAGCACGTGTGAGGCACTGGGTTTGATCCTTAGCACCACATAAAAATGAAATAAAGGTACTGTGTCCATCTGCTATAAAAAACATTTTTTAAAAGATTTTAACCAGAACAAATTTGCATGTCTTACTGTTATGCTTATGGGTGGAACAGTGTAAGAAATAAACACCAAGCAAAATAGCACCTAAGAGCACCCAGAGTAACACCTGCTCTGAGCAGACGTCATGCTTATGCATGTGTTTGTCAACAAGATCATCTCTAAGTGGTAAATACAAAAGCTCTCCAACTTAAAAAATAACAGTAGCAAAACACTTAAGCACCCTATAGAAATAAATTCAATGTATCATTACTTGTCAAATTAAAAAGGCATAGATCCTCCAAGCCTTGGCAATTCTATTTTCCAGATTACAATAATTCACTTGCAAATATGCAAGATAAATTATGCCCAAATATTGTCACTGCATTTTTAGTTGTAAAAGAAAAAGATCAGAAGCAACCTAAATGTCCATCAAGTGGCAATAGGTTAAACAAGATAGGTATATCCCCTAAAACATTATTAGGGTACACCTAATTAAAAACAGACACTATGATCTTTTAGTTCAGCCATTAAAAGTGATGATGCAGCAATCACAAAATTCCAACTATTTTAAGATTCCATGTATATAAAATGTCCAAAATAGGCCAATCTATAGAGATAGAAAGTAATTTAAGATTGCAAGGAGCTGGGGAAACTGGAGAGAAATGGGGTATACCACACTTCCCTAACACTCTTTGTATACAAACTGGATTCCCACTATTTAGCCTATTTCTTGACAATTAATTCACTCTAGACAAAATTAAACCATCCTTCTTCAGCATTTCCACTGCACCATACATATACCTTTACTTTCAGTTCATCACGATGTTGTAATTATTTGTTTATATGCCTGTCTTTCCCAAGATGCCTAGCTCCCTGTGATGGAAATACTTATCTTTGAAACTTCAGGAACTAACACAGCCCCTGCACACAGGAAGCCACTTCAGGAAGTTTGCTGCATGAGTTATTGTGACTTAGAAACACTTGCATTACCCCTACACTATACAGCTTTTAAAACATCATGAAGCAGAATTCACTTTTCATTGCCTACACTATTTACAATCCTGAAAAGAAGCAGATATATGTAGTTGCAAATCAAAAATAATTTATACCACAGATGATTATCTAAGCTAATACTAAAATCAATCAGCTCACATAAAGCACACACAAATAGAAAGCAATGCCAAGATAATGAAATAAAAATGCAACTTTTGGGATTTTTTCAAAAAATGGGTGCATCTGATTTATAGTCAGTTATCAAATGTTCATGGATTTGGAATGTCTGAATTTAGCAAGTCTTTGTGCCTAAACAATGAACTGGGATAAAGGACACTAAAAGGATTAACAGGTCATTTTGATAAATCAGGGATACCTGCTGCTCAACATCAAATGTCAAATAAAACGCCAACTCTAGGGTCAAAGCTGGGGCCATTAGTGACTGCAAAGGGAAAGATCTGCTGCAGCCCACTTTTTCTTACAAAAACAAGTGACCCAAAATAAACTTTTTTACATAAGTAATGAATTCTTAAATATTTATAGAAAACTAAGACAAAGATTTCAAGGCTAACTGGCAAAGGTATATGAAAACACTCCATTTATTCAAATAAACACTTAACAAAAATCTAGCATGACCACTAATAAGTGATAACGTGGATCTGAGTTTTAACACCTTTTTACTATACTCTTCACTAATCTAGGCAATTTTATTAATTAGTAACTTAACAAAATATAAAGGTAAAAGTAAAATATTGGAATGGTCCAGGTAATTTATGTAGACATAGTAGCAAAATAACTTCAATTTTTTAATATTATAAGGGAAATCTTAGGGGACTTTAAAGTTTTCCATAAATTAGTAATGCAATTAGGTAAGTCACTCCAAATCCTAGGCTCAGTTTTCTAAACTATAAAACTACCTAGAATAAGTGATCTCTAAGATCCTCTTTACCTTAAGTTGTTCCGTAATTAGTATAATTTTTTTAAAATACATATTCTAAATAAAATATGAAATAAAAGGATTTTTTTTTCTTGTCACCAATTCATTACTTGATTCTTTTCACAATCATCTCAAAACCACTCTACCCAGATGGCAATCAATCACTACTCATAGATGGACAAATTAATGGCTTCTCTAGAAAACAAAAATAATAAAGTTATTTTAATAAAACATTTTGGGAGTGGGGTTGTGGTTCAGTGGTAGAGTACTAGCATGTGTGAGGCACTGGGTTTGATCCTCAGCATCACATAAACGTAAATAAAATAAAGATATCGTGTCCATCTACAACTAAAAAACAAAATTTAATAAATAAATAAAAAGTTTTTACTGACCTGGTGCAACTACATTCACTCTAATTTTCTTTCGTGCTACCTCTTTAGCAAGTGCACGTGAAAATCCAACCAATCCTCCTTTACTGGCACTATACACACACTGGCCAGAATTGCCTTTTAAACCGATAATACTTCCTAGAAGAAAAGAAAGTAAGCAAATTCAAACTAATTCATAGGAATTATATAAAAATTCAGATAATTTATAGTAAACAAATAAAAAAAGTAAAATCCATTTTACCTTATCCTTTACTCACATTAGTAATTCTACCCACTGTCATTTGAGTAGTAAGACTTTAAGAATCCAAGTATGCTCCAGACAAACACAGAAAACAAGATCAGAATGAAGTTGGTGTAAAACCACAAGCGCCAAGTAGGAGGCTTGCAAGCCAATCTAGAATGCAGAGCATTCCAATCTCTGAGTAGGTCAGCTATAATGAAAATTCTGTGGCTTATAATGGCTTCCAGTAGGAAGAGGTTGAAGCCAGAAAAAGTCTAATTAATTTTACCTTTCTACAACTAGACATAAGGAAATACTTACTTCTACCTAAATCCATCTGAAGATAAATCTCACTAAATTAGAACTACAGTTGATCTAAACTTACCAGTTCCACTTCAATTATAACTTTTCATAAATGTGCAACTTTGTTGCTTTCAGTGATATAACTTGTACTGCCTACTAAAGATTCTTAGGTGTGGGAGACCAACCTTGCACATGACTGGGTCACACTCCCTGGCTGGGTGCTGAGGTGCTCAGACACAGAAATGTGGCAGAGCTTTCCCCACCTTTCTTGGGTTCGAGGGTTGGTGTCTCATGCATGGGTGTGTCTTGCTACAGCACCATGGGTAAAGCTATGCTCACCTGTTCCTTTGTAATATAACCCCTTGCCCTCTTTAGGATAGAATCTTCCATGAAAGTGTCTTGTGTATGTCCCCTTCTCTTACTGTGCCCTAGGGTGTGGCCTACCCAGTTATCAGTCAACCTGCTGATAGCAGACATCATGAGGACAGACTCAGCCCCCTGCAACCTGACACCTTGCCTCATTTGAATAGCTTCTCCTCAATAAAAGGGGTCAGCATGTGCTCTTGCTCTCTCTTCCTGCGGACCCTTAAGGTCAGAGGAGCCGTCACAGCAACCCTAAAGAAAAAGGTATTTGTGTCTCTTGTGTGGTTATTTTACGCAGCCCAGTCAGCCCAATTCAACTGGAGTGACCCCTGAGCCTTTTAGTCTGGAGAACAGAAACCTGGCACTTAGGTGACTTCATTTAAAGAATATGTAATTTATATTTATATAAGTCATAAATTATATTATTTATAATTCAAAATATCAGCTATATGCAAATAACTGCTTGCAAAACAGAAGTAGGGAAGTAATTTTCTGCACCACTGACCTGTATTTATGATACAAAAATTAAATAAGCTCCAAAAATTTTTAAGTAATTTTACTTTAGAAAAAGAAAACATCACCAGGGGCAGTGGTGCATGCCTATAATCCCAGTGGCGCAGGAGGATCCTGAGTTCAAAGCCAGCCTCAGCAACTTAGTGAGGCCCTAAGCAACTCAGCAGGACACTGTCTCTAAAGAAAATGTTAAAAAGGGCTAAGGATGGGGCTGGGGATGTGGCTCAAGCAGTATTGTGCTCGCCTGGCATGCATGCAGCCCTGGTTTGATCCTCAGCACCACATACAAAACAAAGATGTTGTGTCCACTGATAACTAAAAAATAAAATTCTCTCTCTTTAAAAAAAAAAAGGGAGGGGCGGGGCTAAGGATGTGACTCAGTTGTTATGAGCATCTGGATTCAATAACTGGTACCCAAAAGAAAGAAAGAAAAAATCCACTTTTTCTATTATAATCAAATCCAATATTAAAAATTTACCTACATTATACAGTCATGTATCGCTTAATGACAGGCACATACAGAGTAACCACTGTTAGGTGATTTCATAGTCATGCAAACATCACAGAGTTCACTTACACAAAATAAGATGGTAGAGTCTACTACACATCCCAAGCTACATGGTATAGTCTATTGCTCCTAGGCTACAAACCTGTACAGCATGTTACTGTCCTGAATACGGCAGGCAATTGTAAAGTATTTGTGTAATGATAGTATTTTGTGTATTTAAACATACCTAAAGATAGAAAATGTAAAGTAAAAATACCAGGAAATATGAATTTTTCACTTCCTGTTATGGTTTGGATATAAAGTGTCCCCTGAAAAGCTCATGTTAGACAATGCAGGAATGTTCAAAGGTCTGAAAGTGTTTCACTTTAACTTCTGCAAATTTATGCAACTACTACAATAATTGTTGTTTACTACCCAGTGTCCACAATTTTTTTTAATTCTTTGTCCATATTTTTTTTAATATTTATTTTTTAGTTTTCGGCGGACACAACATCTTTGTTTGTATGTGGTGCTGAGGATCGAACCCGGGCCGCACGCATGCCAGGCGAGTGTGCTACAGCTTGAGCCATATCCCCAGCCCCCTTTGTCCATATTTTTAAAATTAGGCTTCACATAAAAATTTAAATTAGGCTTTGCATAAAAATTAGGATGCCCAATTTCTCTTGAAAAATCAAAATTATTAGCAAAACTGGAACCACATTCATGCACACCAAAAATCGACTAGATCTGAACACCAACTGAACCTAAATGTCTTCTGTCATTTATCACATGACCTCTACTGCCACTCTCTAATAATTAGTGGTCAACATCCGCCTGCCCCATCAGGATGTGAATTTGTGATTCCTGTTTTACTCACTGATTATCTAATTAAATCTTTTCCAACAGATAATACAAAGATAAATTTCATAAGTGAAAGTTACAAATTAGTGGATTAAATATGCTTATGGTAATACACAATAATTATAAACCCACAAAGATAAAAACTCACCTACATTAACAATAGACCCTCCCTGTTGTTGAATCATAGTCCTCATGGCAGCTTTACAAGTCAGCATAGAACCCAAGAGATTAGTATTAAGTTGAGATATCATATCTTCGGTTTTTGTTCTTACTAAAAGACTATCCCTACAAAAAATAAACAGCATGTAAATTAATAACAATTTTTTTAAAGTCAAGACATAGGTAACATTTTGATGGAAAGAGTGTAAGATGTTCTTCATATCTGAGATAGAATGCCTAGAGGGTACTATTTTGACCTTGGTTTGTGAGCCACTAAAATAAATGATAAGCTTTTAGAAATGATCCACTTGAAAGGTAGTTCCTACCCATTTCAGTTAAAGTGACAAACATTCCAAATTGCTAAAAGTAGTACCATGTAGACAAAATATTTTGAATAGCCTAAGCAATTGCCATACTAACCCTTGTTTAGCAGGACAATTAGTATATTATTCTAAATTCATCTTTTTTTATAAAAGAATGCCTACCCTATAATTCCATCAGTTCATATACTCCCCCCACAAAAAAAATACACATATACACATACATACACACACACACACACACACACACACACACACATGGTGACAGAATTCAGAATACTGGTTAGCTATGAGGAAATACTGAGAAGAAACAGCCTTCAGAGTTACAGAAACATTCAATAGCTCAATATTGATGAGGATTAAAATATTAAAACTGATCAAACTAGACACTTATTTCAATATGAAACAAAAGAATGTATGGAAAAGTTTTAAAACACACACTTTTTCTTATAAGTAAAACAACTAATACATTGATACTAATCAAAAGCCTAAATGGGTTAAAAAAAAAAAAAACTTAAGAAATTTACTTAAATCTATGACCAACCTGTTAATACCAGCTGCATTTACCAAAAAATTTACTTGACCTAAATGTTTCTCCATCTCTTCAAATATATGTTGAACATCATGTTCTTTAGCAACATCACAGCTAAATGCTAAATGATTTCCTACAAAACAAAGTTACATTAGAATTAATTATAACTTAAATTTTGAATCTACACAGTACACATTTGTTAATCCCCTACTACATGGTAGGTTTGTGCTAACCCTAGAGATAAAAGATAAATATTTCATAGGTTCCTGCTCTCACTTGTCAAATTAAACTGGGATGGGTGGGCAGGGAACAAGAAAGTAATATAACAAAAGTTGATTTGAAAACTTTGGAAAGTTTTGTTGTTTTTTTGTAGGGCACAGTTGCACACACCTGTAATCACAGTCATTCTGGAAGCTGAGGAAGATAGCTTGAGCCCAGGAGTTCAAGGCTAGCCTGGGAAACAAAGAAATCTTGGCTTTTTTTTTTTTTTTTTTTTTTTATTATTGTTGGTTGTTCAAAACATTACATAGTTCTTGATATATCATCTTTCACACTTTGCTTCAAGTGGGTTATGAACTCCCATTTTTAGCCCATATACAGATTGCAGAATCACATCAATTACACATCCATTGATTTACATATTGCCATACTAGTGACTGTCATGTTCTGCTACCTTTCCTATCCTCTACTATCCCCCCTCCCCTCCCCACCCCTCTTCTCTCTCTACAATAGACGAATGGATTAAAAAAATGTGGCATTTATACACAATGGAGTATTACTCTGCATTAAAAAATGACAAAATCATAGAATTTGCAGGGAAATGGATGGCATTAGAGCAGATTATGCTAAGTGAAGCTAGCCAATCCCTAAAAAACAAATGCCAAATGTCTTCTTTGATATAAGGAGAGTAACTAAGAACAGAGTAGGGACGAAGAGCATGAGAAGAAGATTAACATTAAACAGAGATGAGAGGTGGGAGGGAAAGGGAGAGAAAAGGGAAATTGCATGGAAATTTTTTTTTTTTTTAACTGCGGATTGAACCCAGGGCCACTTTACCTCTTTCCATGCCCATCCCTTTTTATTTTGAGACAGTTCCCTCACTAAGTTGCTAAAGCTAACCCTGAACTTCAATCCTTCTGCTTCATCGTCAGGGGTCACTTACATTACAGGCATGTGCTACAGCACCTGGCTAAGAGATCCTGGCTCTTAGAAAGATTGTTTTTATTTTAAAAAATAAAACTTTGTTTTGAATCTATAAAATTGTGGGATCATTTTTCAAGTTTGCAGTGCTTTGTTAAGATTCATAATAATGTTTATAGCTTTAACACTAAACCTGTTATGCCTAATTCAACAGTCTTCTGGGTTCATACTCCTTGTTTGAAACTTATGTTTAATTCTTTAGGTTGAATTTGTTTCTTTAGTCCTGAGGATAAACTCCAAGGTTTCTTTTTTGTTGTTATTTTTAAGCACTAAAAATAAACTATTTTTATACATACATAATATATATAAAAGCCTGACCATCAGTATAGATGAGACAACAAAGAAAGCCATAAAAAGAGCTAAAACTACAAATCATTTTTACTAAAAGTAATTATTACCTCTCAAAAATAGCCACTTTTCAAAAATTGTTTAAATGCCAAAAAATCATACTTCAAAGGAAAATAAAATATTCCCTACTTAATAATGTATTTTAATACATGTTCCTTGATTTATGATGGGGTAACATCTAGATAAGCCCATCATAGGGTGAAAATATCATAGGTTGAAAATGCATTTCATGCACCTAACCTATCAAACAGGAAGCTAAGCAATACTGTACACTGCAGAGTATGGGGTGTCTCCCCTCCTGACTGCATGGCTGCCTGGGAGCTACGGATTGTTGCACTGCCCAGCATCAAGAGAGTATCATCCTGCATATCAGTAGCCTGGGGTAGATCCCAATTCAAAATTGTTTTGTTTTTTGAAACAAGTTCTCACTCATTTGTTAGGGCCTGGCTATGTTACTGAGGCTGGTCTTGAACTTGTCATCTTCCTGCCTCAGCCTCCTGAGCCACTGGGAGTACAGGCTATGTGCCATTAGGCCCAGCCATTTCAAATTTAAAGAACTGGTTTCTTTCTTTCTTTCTTTTTAATAGTTGGACACAATACCTTTATTTTATTTATTTATTTTTATGTAGTGATGAGGATCAAACCCAGGGCCTCACACGTGCTAGGTTCTACTGTTGAGCCACAACCCCAGCCTGAAAGAACTGGTTTCTACTGAATGCACACCACATTGTCAACTCAAGTATATCTATACTCTAAATGGTGCAATTTTTATAAACTAAAATAATTGCTTATTTTCTGCCTGATTTTGCCAAATATGTATACACTAACATTATCCCCTCGTGCCTTTGGGAACAGTAAGACACCTGGGAAAAATCACACTTTACCAATGAAAATCAATCACTTAGGGAACACATGATTCAAGGAAATGAAATGCCCAAAAGCATCACCTGTCTCACTCCTGGCTTTCATGTGAAGACTTATTGGTCCACAATTATCCTCTAAAACTCAACTAATGGTTTTTAATCTAATCAGCAAACACCGATAGTTTAACCCAGCAAGGAGCACCACTTTTTCCCTCCTTGGTCATATACTGGCAATGAATATGAGCTGAAAGACTTCTTTCTTTCATGGAAATTCTCCAGTTGTAATTTTAGAAAGCCAAGTATTTTCCCAAACTAAGGAAACAAAGAGTCTGAGCTGGTGGTACCAAACCTATCAGCAACTTCTTTTAAAAACAAAACACAAAACTTAACACCCCCAGGATTCTATTCCTCCCAAAGCCTTCCTGATAATAAGTTACTAGTATTCTTCTCTCTTCTACTAATTGGTTCTGTCTTAGTATCTTCAAACCCTCAGACGTCATTTTTACCCTTACCATCAAGAGACTTAAGTTTGAAAAATAACTGACCCGTTAATAAGAAAAAAAAAATTGAAGGTAATAATAAGGACTGAGTCAAACAAATTCCAATTATTTACAAAATTCACAAAAAAAGGGAATCAATGACTTAAAATTCTTAATAGATGTAATAAAGCAAACCAGATATATCTCAAAACCGGCTGGCACCCAAAAGGGGTTTTCTCTGATGCACTGCTTTGGGCATTCGCATAGGGGCAGGAACAGCTCTCGGAAAAACCAAAGTGAGCTTTTCCTACCTGGCATGTCTACCTCTCCAGACTTAACCCTGTAGCTGACCCCTGCATAACTTAACTTTAAGTGTAGAGTTGCTTTCTCCTACCAGATGCCAAAACAGAGCTCCTCACTACTAGCAAAGGCTGCAGGAAAATGAAGGCTTGTACTAACAAGACTGCGACTTCTTAGTAAAATCCCCCAGCGCCCAGCCCTGGGCGGCAGGTGGCGTTGAGGTGCGAGCAGGTAGGGGTCTGCACAACAGGTCTATCCTAGGGACCCGCGGCTGAATCACCAACCCTCAGAGTCGCTTGTGTTACACACGAAGCTTCAGCCCTCGGGACTGCAGTCACGCAGCTGAACAAGCTCGGTACCTACCGCCGAGGTCACCTGCGGCGGCTTTGGCCACTTCCAGATTTCTGGCGATGATCGCCAGTCGGTAGCCTTTCTGGGCCATTAACTGGGCTACTGCCCTGCCAATACCCCGGGAACCTCCAAAAATAGCGCACACTTTGTTCATCTTGAACCCGTAAGTCGAAAACTTGGCTGGGACCTGCCGCCCTTCTCCAGGGAACCTCGGGCTTTTAAAAAATAAATAAGTAAATGGATAGACAGCTAAAGCCAGGCCAAAGAACAACAGCCCAGCAGACGCCAGCTCCAGCCCACAGACTCTGGCAATTTAAGAAGCGGCGAAGAGTACGATGTAACGCGCTGACGTCAGCACGCACGCATCTCCGTCGTCAGCGTGTTGACGTCAGTACGCAGGATTCCCCAAAGCAGCGCCCTACTAGAACGTGGGCTACCGAGCGCGCGGCCGGCGGAAGACTGGCCCAGACGGGCTTCCGCTGCCTGCTGGGACTTGTAGTCTTCCCGCCCGAAGGCACGGCATGGGCGCCTGCTTAGTGGGAGGTGTGCTCAACTTGCTGAGGGACGCCTCTTTCCACCCTGGGAGGTGGGAATCTGGATTACAGCCCAGGTTACCACGCGTCCCAGTTTGCTCAGAACAGGGTTGTCAACAACATACTGGACTTTCCTCTGGAAAAGAGTAGTGGATCGCCGAAGTGATCGAAGTTAGCACTATTGAGCGTGGATGTATCAAGGGCTTCAGGTGTCTACCTTTCACCCAGGCTGCAGACTTTCACTTTGGCTGCAGACCTGATGTCCCCCCTGTGGAAGAAGTGGCTCACAGGTGTCGGACTCACGCCAAAACCTACCTACTCCTCCCCCAAGTTGGCCTTCCCACTGGCAGGCGTTATCATCCATCTCAAAGGATGCTGTGAGCATGAATGCCCTGTCAAAGAACACAGAAGGAGCTCAAGAAACTTTTATATCAATGAACGGTCTTCTTAGATGGATGAAACAAGGGTGCTATAGACAAAAATGGGTTCCTGGGGGTTTGTGGCACACGCCTGTATTCTAGCTACTCTGGAGGCTGAGGTAGGAGGATTGCAAATGTGAGACCAACATGAGCAAGTTAGTGAGACTCTCTTCTCAAAGTAAAAAATAAAAAGGGGTGGGGATTTAGCTCAATAGTAGATGCCCTCAGATTCAATCTCCAGGACCTCCAAAAAAGAGAGATGGAGTCCTGCACCTTTAAATAAAAAGTGTTGAGTTCTCTGAGAGTTAATGAGCTTAAAAGGTGATTATTTATTACTAATATAGTGTAAAAAAAAAAAAAAAAAAAAAAGGAAAGTTCTTGATACAAGGACAAGGTCATTGCACTAAATGTTTCAGAAAAGTATAAGCCATGGCCCCGGCCACCAAAAAACATACATACAACTTGCTGCAACAGAACTAATACAGGGGCTGGGGATGTGGCTCAAGCGGTAGCGCGCTCCCCTGGCATGTGTGCAGCCCGGTTGGATCCTCAGCACCACATACAAAACAAAGATGTTGTGTCCGCTGAAAACTAAAAAATAAATATTAAAAAATTCTCTCTTTCTCTCTCTCTCTAAAAAAAAAAAGCAACCATTTAAAAATAAAAGGAACTAATACACATGAAAACTAAGGAGTAAAACCATAATTAGTAAAGTGCAAAGTTATATTAACGCAAGAACTCAGAAAAGGGTCAATGAAGAATAAAAGGGTGCATGGAAAAGCTGGATTTGAGGGCTGGATGAGGTTTAAAAAAAAAAGGAAATAAAGAGCAAAAGACTAAGCAAGTTGAGCATTTTTAAAAAGCTTTTTTTTTTAATTCCAAAAAGGATTTGAAATGGTTTGCAAGAACACAGAGTAAGTTATTATAAAACGCACTGCTCCTTCTTCCCCAAGTTAAGACAATAAAGTGAGGTCAGTAGAAAAATTTAATTAAAATAAAGTCATGCTAGATGAATCTATTTAGGGCTGGAGTTGTAATTCAATGATATAGCACTTTCCTAACATATATGAAGCCCTGGGTGTGATACCCAGCACTGCAAATAAATAAAGAGAATATAGTAAGTACTAGAGGAGAGATGCACATGTGACTCTGAATTTCCTAGTGGTCAAAGTAACAAAGGAAATATAATTAATCACACATAGCAAATTTCTAGAAGAAATAAACATCTTGGTTATGCAGCAGAAAGGTCTGAGCAAAATTCCCTCTTCATGGATCCCCTAAAAGGGCACAATACTCTTGCTAGTAGAAAATGCTCTTCATGGAAAATAAAAAAGACTGTAAGGCTATTTTTATAGCATCTAATATACTTTATTATAAAGCAAATACCATAATTAAACAATATAAGCAAACTTTCAGACACAAGAATGAGTCTTTGTATGCCTGATCACAGGAAAGGCAAGATGGTGCTGGGTTATTGCCGCAGTCCAGCTGCAGCAAAATAACGTGTGTGTGTGGGGGGGGGGGGGGGTGACAAGGAACTTGTGTAGATTGATACAGCAGGAGTGGGAGCCATTTATTGTAGGACAACAGAGGTATTTATACATTCCACACAGCTTATCTAATTAACATAAACTTGATACAGCAGTCAACCAATAAGGAATCTCCACACTTAATGGCTCGCTGGCGTTACTTCACAAACCACTCCCTCTGGCAAAATGCCAGGCGCCATCCAGACTTGTTTATAGACTCTTAACATTTCCCCCTTTTGTTTAATTTAAATAACGACCATAGTGGTTTTTACACAAACACCACAAACAATCTGCTACAAGCAGAAGGGGAGGATACAAAATGCCACAATACCAAGCCAATTGATGGCTCCATGCAAGAAGCCCTTGGAAAAATTATACCAGCAATGACACCGTTAGCAAAGATACCGAGTTATAATTTGTTGTAGATTACAGTTTGTCTCAGTCCAGGTAAAGCAGTGTCTCAATAGATTAACTCACAGTCCAGGTAAATCATAGTCCAGGTAAGTTCTGCAGGCAGCTAGCTTAAATCACAGTCCAGGTCTCAGCGGAAGTTTCGTCCGATTCTCAGCAACACTGGAAATTCTTCCACCCTCATCGTCACCGGCACTGGGATGAAGACAGGAACTCCAGCAATGATGCTAAAGAAAATCTTGTAGTATTCCACTAAGAAAACAACCTTCTGAACAATTTAGTATATTATCTCAAGGTTTTTTACATTTGAAATAAGCCTTAATAGTGTTCATTACTCATCAGCCTCCAGGTGTGGGAGAACCATTGTAGCTTATTTATTGGCATTGAAAATGACCAAACATAAGGGACACCGGTAGCGTCTTTTGCCAGCTGCAGCGTCCCGGGCAGCCCCAGATGGCCCTGGGGAGAGTCCCGGTCTCAAACTGCTTCTGGGCACAGGGAGCAAGAGCCTGCGAGACTGTACCTCCGGGTCAGATCTGGATTTGGGCTCTCGGTAGTGGCATCCCGCTCCCCGGGCGGGGGGCAGGGAAGAGCCAGCTGCCTAGGCTTGGAAATTCCTTGCTGCGCCTTGATCCGCTCGCGCACGTGGCAGCCACTGCATTGATTCACGCACCCTCCTGTAACGAAAAGTATTTAGTAATAGCCTTTTGCTGCAACTTTTTTCTTGATAATCTTTCTTCTTCTGAACTTTCTTTTTCTTTCTGACTAGAGTTCCTGGGCTTCTATCAACATATGTCCTAACTGCTCTTGGTTCCATTAGGGTGCCTTCTTCCCTTAGTGATTTACTTCTCACCCCTTCCATATTTTCATCACAAAGACAATACAACATTTCAAGACAAAACAAGACACAAACATACTGTATCAATCTTCTCCATTTTCTGGAAACAGGCTTTAAAGCCATATGCAAGATTTAAACTGGAGACTCTATAGACCTTTAATTCCAGAAGTAAGGAAATAAAAACTACATTTAAGAACCATTAGACTAGCCATGATATCAGGATGGAGTAGAACAAATCTGAGACAGTTAAACCCCTCTCCCATTCTACACCTGTATGCAATCTTGGAAGGCAAAACTGTTCGAGATAAATTATCAACATAGGTGTTAGCTACATGCAGATTGTAATCCTGCCATCCAGCATTTTATGGCAAAGTAGAGAAGTTCAGTCTTTGAGGACAGTTCTGTCTGTTTCATAGGAAAGGGGTTGCATTCTTTCCACACATTGATATTTTAACAAGACAATATGGTTTTTAGATCTGTGCCATCTGTCACAAAGATTATTAACACATAATATGAGGTGACATTCAGAATTCTCAAAATCTTCTTACTTTTCTCACTGTGTATATACAGTAAATGGAAAGGTTGAGTTTTTCTTTCAACAGTCAGTTTAAACCCCAAGGGTATAATTTTTTTCCCTGTTATACAATATCACTATTATCCTGGGTGAGAATAAACCCATCACAACATCTCGGCCCTTAGCTGGGACAGTTGTTGGCAGGGGAAGTTTTCCCCTAATTCCCTGATGGCAAAATAAGGGCTTGTAAATTAAACTGGGTCTCTCTTACCTAGCAGGACATCAACAAAAGCCATTAGAATGACCCACCTTTAATCTTCTCAGTAAACATATCACTTTTGTGGCAATATTTTGACCATATTTTATACTGTCTTTAATTTAAACCAACATTTTATCTTGGCTCTAATAATCAGAAGAGAAAGTGCCTTATATATCGGGACATTCTAAATGATTTATTTTTAAAAAAAATATTTATTTTTTAGTTGTAGTTGGACACAATACCTTTATTTATTTATTTTTATGTGGCGCTGAGGATCGAACCCAGGGCCTCGCATGTGCTAGGCAAACACTCTAACACTCTACCCCAGCCCCTATATCAGGATATTCTAAAATTTTAAAATAGACTTTTATTTTTCTGATTAAAAAAACAAATATCGGGCTGGGGTTTTGGCTTAGAGTAGAGTGCTTGCCTAGCATGCATGAGGCACTGGGTTCGATCCTCAGCACCACGTGAAAATAAAATAAAGGTACTATGTCCACCTACAACTAAAAAACAAAATGTTTTTTTAAAAAAATCACCTCATTGCCAAAAATTAGAAAAAAACTAAAGCAAATAAGACTAATTGAAAGCATTGTACACTGTAAATGTGTGAACTATATGGCATGCAAATTACATATCAAAAGAACTGATATAAAAAAATTTTTAATTGAAAGCCTACCATTCTGTTACATGAAGTTTGAATCTGCAACTAATTAAGAGGGTTGTTCCTTTCATGGATATTTTTATCCTAAGTCAAGATGTATAATGCCTGAGATTCAAAATGTATAGAAAATAATTATTTACAAGAAATTCACAGTTATGATTTT